GTTATATATCGATTGATAACCTTATTAGATATATATCGATTGTTTAAAGCTGGTTATATATTGGTTTATACCAAAATCGATATAACCCAGCAGGGGTGATTAGTATCAATATATATCTAATAGGTTACCAATCACTATATATCCTTACATAAAATTTCCCAATGCCTAATAGGACTGTGACTTGTTCCTAATACTTCAAGATCTGCTCTCCAAGGTTCTTTTCCTCTGGTTCGAGACTTTCAGCAGCCTGGTTGATAGTACCTCTTATCTGAGATTCTTGTTTACTGATTTCTTCTACATTGGTATTTGTTTTCTAGGTCTAGTCTTTATAGTAATACTGTTAAAGATCTGTGCTACCTCTTTACTCAGATCTTCCCAAGTGGGCTCCAGTTTTTCCAGTTCACAGATTTATATGTCTACAAGGACTTATCTTGAATTTGCATCATCTAATTATAATTAGCATTCTTCTGTATAACTCTAACATTGTACAGATGCCCTATGATCTGCTAGTTATCTGGTGCAACCATGTTACAGGTACTGATTCCAACTGATCAACAGATTGCTGTTGCTGTAGTACTAGTTTCAAGGACTTATCTTGTGTTTGCATTGCCCAATACTGGTTTGCATTCCTCTATATAACTCTAGCATTGCACAAATGCCCATATATACTGATATAACATAGGTGGTTTTCCAAATTTTTACTGTCAGTATGTTTTAAACTCCCAACCTATCATTTGGAGGGTTGACAACTTATCCACTTCACTAAGCTGCCACACCCCTTTATGATAAACATCCTATTGTTAAATTCCTAAGTAATGATGACATTAATACATATAAGTTACCTTTGTTAAAATATGAAATAATAGATTACTATCTTTTAAGAGGTTTGTTATTTCTAAAAAATTTAATGTGTCTTTTTTATATAACTCATTGTATTATGATAGAATCTATAATTTGTCTAATGGCAATGTTTTGATATGTAAACATAACTACCATAATCATTACTTACAAAAATTTTACTTTAAATGTTTTATTTATTTAAATTATCTTCAAAATAAAATCAAGAAAAATGTTAACATGCTAATAGTAAGTTTGCTAGTAACTTAGTTGAAGTTAGAATATTAAATAGTAAAAATAAGAATAAAGATGAAGATGATTCAGATAATACAGATAAAATAATAAGTAATGTGATTGATATAATAATGTTATTAAATTATATAAAATTAACATTTGTAAATTTGTAATAAATAAGGTATGGGTCTTATAACTTAGTGATTAAGCTTCCATACCCTCCACAGTCAAGATCAACAGTTCAAGTCTGGCTGGAGGCAAAATTGAAAGATTTTAGCTTCTGTAACCTAATAAGGAGTCTGTAATTGAACATAAAACCCTGTACTTAAAAGTCCAAGTGGAGTACAATGATGAAAATAGAAATTCTTGAAAGAAGACCCAATCATGAAATGGAGACACTATGTGTAATAAGCAATTATTACAGAAGATTACAGTTATGAAATGATTGTGCATGTAAGTTCTTTAGCTAGGGCAACACTAACATCCTTATAACTTCCAATATAGGCAGTACCAACATCTCTGCATCCAACTTGTAGAGTATTTACTTAGATGGATAATTAATAGATTGTGCAAATAAGTCTTAATTGGGATCCAAGAAAAGAATTTGATTGGGAAAATAGTCTGACAAGTAATCAAAACTGGAATGATAAGAGAAACAGTGAACATGAGAACAGACTGTGATAAAGGATTGGTCTAACCAAAATTGGAAACACCTCTGACATAACTGAATAATCTAATTATAGAAGGAAAGATCTTAGAGATAGATGTATAACTTCATTATACAATATAAAAGTACCAAATCGGGTTCTGGTCATACCTATATGAAAGTCTATGATAAACAAAACTAGAGATTAACCAACCAATGTGAGATAAGATCTGCAAGGTAGTATGACATTACTGAGATCGATGTAACTCCTTGGACATAACCAGAATTGTCTTATAGATATTGTTGAATAAGCTAAGAGCTTGCAATACATAGTAGTATGATATCACTAGAGTTAGAAAAACTCCTTAGATATAATTAGAATTGTCTTGTTTCTAAATACAACAAGTTCCAGTCTTTACTATAAAAAAAAATATCATATTAGAGGTTAAATACAGCATTGAGTTACTGTATGACATTAAAACCTGAGACATCTGCAGAAATAGTAGCAACAAGTTTGACTTGAGATACGGATTGGTCAAAAAAACCAATGATGGCAGCAAATCTGACTTGATATACAGGTTCATTTCAGATCCCAGACCATTGTTAGAACACCTTAAAGGAATCAATAACAGACAAACCAAATATGAAAAGATCATAAGGATCAAACATACCCAAGTAGGACCAAATTGGAAGTGATATAGTGACAAAAAGGTAAGAAATATGGGAAAAAATGTAATACTAGATATAGTTAGATTAGGAGCAGAAGAAACAAGACTAGGTAAAACATATGAGTAGGACATATAGGTATAATTTACAGAAGATAGTACCCTTGACATTTGGGATGTTACATTAAGTTCAGTAAGTATCTTTGTCTGTATAGTTGTTTAATGTATATCATGATCGCAAGTGATTGTCAAGGTAACTGCATGCAGGCATGTGACAGACATGCACTTAGATGCCATAAGAGTAACTGGATAAAGTCAGTAATGTTAAATTAGATAATATATAGTACTAGTAATAATTGATCCTTGTATTATATCAAATTAAGACTAATAAAAACCAACTGGCATTGTTGCCAAAGATAAAAAAAAAATTGTAATAAATAAATAAATAAATATTCAAAATTTTTGAATTGCAAATTATAAGTTATAGCGAATTATATATTATTTAATTATGATCGTATTTTATTATCATATTTACTATATTATGTATAAATTATTTGATCAACAAGGGACTGTCGATCGTGTATACTTATTTCTGCAAGTGATACAAACCCAAAAAGGAAATTTTTCTATGTAGATCGCATGATCAGGTGCAATCGTCATGTAACGTGAGATCAAAGGATTTTTAAAACATCGTCGGTAACTCAAAAGTTTGCCTAGAAAATCACATTTTATGTTCTAATAAAAAAAATTCCTGACCAGATTTTACTATATGACCTTTCTAATACCAACCCTTAACCCTAGCCCTAACACTAGTCAAATGTCACGTACTTTTAGTGAAATGACAATCATTTCCTTTTTGGGCTTGTATCACTTGCAGAAATAAGTAAATCCCTGTCGATCACATGTTGGTTTGTGTAACTTTGACGTTTCCCCCTGTTATATGAAACATAAAAAAAAAATCACGTTATCATTATTCCCAATTAGGTATGTAAATCGAAAGCTGCATCCAATTTTGGTAACTATTCAGAATCCGGTTTATCATTCTGATTACCATCAAAATATAAAATCACTAACTTATTTTCAAATTATTTAGAAATAATTACAATAAAATGCCGAGAAGCACAAGCCGAAACCAACATAACGCAAGACGAAGAGACGCGATATTTTACGAAACGGTGGGATTCTTACAAGAAAGGGTCAGGGTCTTACAAAGAAGAATAAATACTCTCACCCGTCTCCTTGAGGTTGAAGCAAACAGGAATAGAGATCTTCACATGGAGTTATTAAGAGTTCAAAGAGAATTATCTACTTCCAATTTGAGAAACCGGGAGCTAACCAGACAAGTACGTTTTTGATCATATAAAACCAAAAACAAAAAAAAATAAAAAAAATAAATAGACAAATGTATTAAGGCGTCGAATTTGGGAAGAAGAGTGGAGCACTTAGAAAGAATGGCCAGAAGATATAGAGTTAGGATTCCAGCGTTGTTGGAAAGACAATTCTCATTTCTAGGAGAGGAGGCTCTTAATGAGTATAGTTTTAGTTTTATCATCGTTTATTAAAAATTAAAGAAAAAGACTCATTGAGGGAAGCGTAGTAGTCGCTGAGTACGCTATTTTTACAATGGCCGGCTGTTCGCGATGTGTTCGCTGTCAAAAAAAAATAAAAAAAAATTAAAATAAAACCAAAATACGATGGCCGTCGATGAGCACTACGCTTCTCGCTTTATTTTTTTTTAGTTCTTTGATTTCAAGAGTTTGATGATTCACTCGTTCACTTTTGTGAATGACTGAGGAGGACCAGAACTCGTCCATAGCGGAAATATTTTACAAGATACATTATATAGTGCGTACAACGTGAAATCTGACAACAATATCACGGGTGTCTTACCTTACGTTGATTCTGAAGTCTTACAAGGTCAAGAAATCGCGCAAACGGCAGATATCTACAGGTATGGAATAATAATAACAGAAATAACGACAGGAACTAGGGCTTTTGATGAAAATACACTGACCCGTCTTATTTAGGTTGAGGCAAACAGAAATAGAGATTTTATGTGGAGTTCGGAGAGAATTTTCTACTTCCAATTTGAGAAACCGGGAAATATAACTATTCTTTCTAGGAGAGTAAGAGCTTAACGAGTATAGTTATAATTTTATCATTATTTATTAATTATTCAAGAAAAAGACTCATTGAGGGAAGCGTAGTAGTCGCTGAGTACGCTATTTCTACAATGGCCGGCTGTTCACGATGTGTTCGCTGTCATAGAAAAAAAAAAAATTTTAAAATAACAAAATACGATGGCCGTCGATGAGCACTACGCTTCTCGCTTTATTTTTTTTAGTTCTTTGATTTCAAGAGTTCGATGATTCACTCGTTCACTTTTGTGAATGACTGAGGAGGACCGGAACTCGTCCATAAAGATTTTCATAACGGAAATATTTTACAAGATACATTAGAAGTGCGTACATCACAGAACTGGGGCTCACGACTGACGTGAAATCAGACAACAAAATCACGGGTTTCTTACCTTACATTGATCCTGAAGTCTTACAAGGTCAAGAATCACGCAAGCGGCAGATATCTACAGGTATTGAATAGTGTTGTTAATTGAAATTATTTAGGCATTTAGACATTTAGACAAATTGAATTTAGGCAATTTTGACTAACAACATTAGTATGAAATAATCATTACAGAAATAACGATAGGAACTAGGGCTTTTGATGGAAATATTCTGACCCGTCTCCTTGAGGTTGAGGCAAAAGAAATAGAGATCTTCATGTAGAGTTATCAAGAGTTTGGAGAGAATTTTCTACTTCCAATTTGAGAAACCGGAGAATATTTCTAGGAGAGTAAGAGCTTAACGAGTACGGTTTTAATTTTATCATTATTTATTAAATATTCAAGAAAAAGACTCATTGAGGGAAGCGTAGTAGTCGCTGAGTACGCTATTTCTACAATGGCCGGCTGTTCGCGATGTGTTCGCTGTCAAAAAAAATAAAAATAAAAAATTTAAAATAAAAACAAAATACGATGGCCGTCGATGAGCACTACGCTTCTCGCTTTATTTGTTTTTAGTTCTTTCCAATTTTAAGAGTTCGATGGTTCACTCGTTCACTTTTGTGAATGACTGAGGAGGACCGGAACTTGTCCATAAAGATTTCTATAAAGGAAATATTTTACAAGATATATTAGATAGTACGTACATCACAGAACTAGGGTTCACGACTGACGTGAAATCAGACAACAAAATCACGGGTGTCTTACCTTACGTTGATCCTGAAGTCTTACAAGGTCAAGAATCACGCAAGCGGCAAATATCTACAGGTTAGGAATAATCATGACAGAAATAATGACAGGAACTAGGGCTTTGATGGAGAGTCACTCGGTACTAATTTCACAATGCAAGTCCTTAACCGAAGTTGCACCAGGAATGCCAAATTGTTACATCAGATTAGCAAAGTAATGCACGGATGCTGACTCGAATAAATTACTGTATTGGTCATTGGCTTTATCAGATGGGTCAAAATGACGAAAATGACTCCAAAAAGGAATCGTCTAAAACCAGGTAGTAATTTATCTGTGTCACGTGAGTTTTGCTTTACAAATTTATTAGTAATCAATTTAAAAACTACCTAGCTTTAGACGACCTCTACAAAAAGCAATTTTCGGATGCCGATAAGGTCAAACCAGAACCAATCGAACTGAAATATCCGCAATCAATGTATAGCGTCAAATCCATTGTAGTCAAAATAGACTAAAAGATTAGAGAAGGTTCTAATGGGACGGTATAAAATTTTTATAGAATGAATGATTGGAAAAATAACTATGACTCGATTTTTGGGGTCTTTAGACATAAAATGTTGTACAAATTTTTACACTTAAGAAACATTGGACAGGTAATAAATGAAGTACTTCTATAAGTTTAGAGGAAGATTATTTAACAATTTATTAACTACAAGTAATTACAGTAAATAAAATTAAGAAAAGAAAAATAATGTGATATAATTATTGTTATGTATCATCGTTATCATCTGTTTTCGGTTTTAACATTTGAGTGCTGCAAAGCGAAAAGCTGGAAGTGAATTAGGGATGGACTTGGTCGGCTACGGTCGGTTATCGGTCGGCTATTACCGGCTAGCCGCGGCTATAGCCGATCAATTATTTAATTTCTTCATCAAATATCGATCTTTAATTAAGTGACAACCAA